AGATACAGATTTACTAGCCTTATTTCAACTAGTACCATGTAACATCTCGCACCTAGAAACAACTAGAAAGAGTTTAAAATCTGAAAATAATCATTTTTGGAAAGCATGTGGAAATCTGGAAATTTTGTCTAAGTTAAGAAAGTGAGTTTTGGTCATTTCAAATGACCATAACTCCTAGATCAGGATGAGTTATGAGAAGTTCTTGATATGGTTGGAAAGCCCTTGGAGATATCTTTCCAACTCCGCCGAGTTTGCGCAATTTTGATATCGTATGAGTGAGTTATGCCTTAGGGAAGTTGGGTTGTTGGATTGAGGAAAGTCCAAATCCGGATTTAAGGAAGGGCAAACTATTCTTTTCTCTAAATAATTTCCTAATTCATTTTTAGGGGTTTATTGGGGTAAGAACAGAACTTAATTCAGTTTTGGAAAATTAGAATACGCTTAGGGCTTGAAGAAAAGAGAAAAAAAGAAAGAAAGGGAGAAAAGCCAAGATTTCGCCAAGAACATCAAGCGTTTGGAGTGGAATTCGTCGGGGGTGATCCCTATTAAGGTATGTGAGATCTTTTAGTGATGGGTTAGTTCACCAACACACCAACTTATTTCAATTCAGCGATTTGGAGTTGTTTACATGTTAAGAAGTGAAGTTCTTGAAGAACAATTATCAAAATTCTTGTTGGTTGAGTTGTTGATGCGTGGGGGTTGATTTGATTCAGATTTCTGGGTTGTTTTTCGAGTTATATCTGTTGTAAGATGAGAGTACTAATTATCCTAAGTGTTTGGGGAAAGAACCATAGAAGTTATGAGGGTTTAGAGATGAAAAACGGAGAAGCAAAGTCGTCAAACACCGGGGTATAGGGGTGGGGCGTCGCGCCAGCCAGCGCGCCCCAAAAGAGTCTCTAAATGTTCACCCTTGGGGCGCCGCGCCAGCCAGCATGCCCTAGACTGGTCTCTGTATATTGAGGACTGGCGCCCCGCACCTCTCAGAGCTCCAGGGACACTAGTTCTCCCCATTCGTTCCCCACCTTTTTGTACTAGTTCCTAAGTGATGTACCATGTTTCCTAGTTGATTCTAATACTCTAAGGTACATCTAAACATCATGAAATCATCCATAAACATGAGATCATGAACCTTGAATCCATAATCCAATTCAAGGAAAGTTAAGATCAAAGTCAAAGAAGTTAAAAGTCAAGTCTAGAAGTTAAGAAGCAAGTCAAAGCAAAGTTTCTTAAAGTTTTCAAGAGTCTTTATTAAACGTTTAAACTTCGTTTTAAGACTCAAGTTTTCAAGTTAAGCAAAGAGTAAAGAGTCGAGTTCATTTCTCAAAAGTTATAAGGGAACTAAGTATTCCCTAAGAGTTTATAAATGTTTTTACACATTTGAGCAAGGAAAGGGAACATCGATTCCAAGAGAGCCCTTGGGCTAAACTTTGAGCAATTATCTCAAACTAAAGAAAGAGGTGTTTAAAACACATATGAGCTAAAGTATATTTTGGGAGTAGTATTGAGCACCGAATTGGGGACCGAGTACATATTAACTCAACTCTCCATAAGAACCATGTAACCAACATGGGATTTAACAAGTCATACTTTTTAGATGATCACGTAAGTTAAGCTAGTGGATCCACTAAGTTAAGTAAGGTTCTATATCATGGCGAGGTATAGGATGGTCCTTGGGCAACGTGAGGTAAAATGTTGTACCATCACTAGGGCTCATAGTGGTGGTTGTCGGTTAAAGAATCTCCCACAAAAAGTTATATTATTTTAATATATAAGTAAAGTTGAGTTTTCTATTGCTTTATCTTTAACGAACTAAGTTGTTTACACTGTTTTACAAGCTTTATATATATATTGCATGTGTCTTATTGCTTTATATTGAGTTCAGTTATTCATGGGTTGTACAGAGCCAAGGTAAGTGTTCCTTCTTACTCCTTTCAAGCTTAAGTTGTTGTTTAGTATTCCAACTCGCATACTCGTACATTCAATGTATTGATGTCAGTTGACCTGCATCTTATTATGATGCAGACGCAGGTAACCAAGAATAGCATTCAGCGCGCTGTTGATCTAGTCGAGCACTCCAGAGTCAGTGGTGAGCCTCATTGCATTCCGGAGGACTCTTTTATTCGCTTTCCTAGTTTTTTTTTCTTTATTAGGATGTTGTGGGGTCTGTCCCAACATCTATCTCAGCATTATACAGGCTTCATAGACAGTCAGACAGTAGTTATGAGTCTCTTATCTATGTATTTGCAGATACTTTGTTTTGAGACAGAAGTTGTCAATTTGGCTAATGGGTTATCATTTAAACTATTACATGAGTTTATTTTGTTGAGTTAAGTCTTCCGTTGAGTTAAGTAAGTCAGGCCAAGGGTTTTCTTGGGGCCAGTAATAGTCTCCGAGTGTCGGCCACGTCCAGGGTGTAGGCTCGGGGCGTGACATACCATAAAGTCATATATATCTTTTATAAAGTAATTAAAAATTAGAGATTTTTAAAGATTATACTAATTAATATCATAATTTCATATCTTCTGTAACATCTCGCAAATTGAAATAACTAGGAAGAAGTTAAAGAATTGGAAATAGCCATTTTTGGAAAGAATATAAAAATCTGGAAATTGGTTAAGTATGTTCAGTTAAATATTTGGTCAACTTCAAACGACAATTAATCCTAGCTCAGGATAAGTTAGGTGTGTTTCCGGGTATTGTAGGTAATATCTTGGAATAATCTTTCCAATGCCGCCAAATTTGCGCTATTCCGAGTTCGTATGAGTGAGATATGCCCTTTGGAATTTGGGTTGTTTGAATAAGGAAAGTCTAATTCGGATTTTTGAAGGGTAGTTTAATCTTTTCCTTAGCCATTTCATAAAATATGTTTTTTTTCTAAATTATTTGGAGTCTAAACTAAGTTAGTTTAGTTTACGCAATTAAAAAATACGCTAGGGCTTTGAGAGAAGAGAAAAGAGGAGAAAGGAGAAGAGAAACTCAAGATTCGTCAAGTTCTTGCGATTTTGGTTGTGGAATTCACCAAAGATTCAATCCTACAAGGTATGTGAGATTCTTATAGCGTTGGGTTCATTCACCAACGCGCCAATCATGTTTGTTTCAGCGAAATTCGTTTCTAGAAAGTTAAAAGTATGTTGTTCTTGAATTATGTTCTTAGAGTTTGCTTTAGTTCTTGAGATTTGATGGGATTGTGGAGTTCTTGATGGAATCATGTCGATTTAGAAAAAGAATCGGATTTAGGTGAATTGGTGTGAGAAAACAAATAAGGGAAAAGTCGAGCAGGTTTTGGCACGCAAGTCCACGTTGCGGTTAGGACGCGGAATCCTCTGTTTCAAAATTTAATTTCGCGATCAAATATTTAAATGCATCTCTGCGTCACAGACTTGTTCCCAGACAATGATTTCTTGATCTTTTCTCATGTTTTGCTATCTAAAAACACTCATAAACATCATAAGATCTTCCCTATCACAAATCACAATCCTTGAATCCACAATTTAATTCAAGGAAAGTTAAAAGTCAACTCAAGTAAACTTAAGAGTCAAGTCAAGAGAAGTTCATAAAAGTTTTCAAAAGTCTTTTACAAACATTTTAACTTTGTTTTAAGACTTAAGTTTCAAGTTAAGCAAAGAGTAAAGAGTTGAGTTCATTTCTCCAAAAGTTATAAGGGAACTAAGTATTCCCAGGAGATTAAAATGTTCACATTTGAACACGAAAGGGAAACACCGATTTCCAAGAGAGCTTTCAAGCTAAGTTTTGAGTAATTATCTCAAACCAAAGATAGAAGTTTGTTTTAAACATATGAGCTAAGTATATTTTGGGAGTAGTATTGAGCACCGATATGGGGATGCGAGTTCATATTAACTCAAGTCTCCATAAACCATGTAGCCATAATGGGTAGTAAAGGATCATACTTTTTAGATGATTCCTTAAGTGCTTTTTAGCAGAGACTAGTGGATCCACTTAGTTAAGCGTTCTATATGACGGAAAAATATAGGACAAGTCTAGCAGCTTGGGCAAGACGTTGTATCACCACCACTTAGGCTCATAGTGCTAGTTGTTGGTTAGAGAAACTCCTACAGAAACTATATTACTTTATTACATGAGTAAAGTTGAGTTTGTTATTTCATTTCTTTAACGAACTGAGTTGCTTTCTACTGTTTTAAAAGTTTTCTATATATTGAATGTGTTTTATTGCTTTATATTGAGTTAAGTTGTTCATGAGTTGAGTAAAGCCAAGGTAAGTGTTCCTTTCAGATTCTTTTCAAGCCTATGTTATGTTTAGCATTCCAACTCACATACTCGTTCATTCAATGTACTGATGCCAGTTGGCCTGCATCATTTTATGATGCAGACACAAGTAACCAGAGTCAACATCCAGCGCATCGTTAATCCAGTTGAGCACTCAAAGTCAGTTGATGGGCCTCCTAGCTTTCCAGAGGATCCTTTTTATTGCTTTCAACATTTTAGTTCATTAGGATGTCGTGGGTCTTGTCCCGACATCCATCTCAGTTGTTTAGAGGCTTCATAGACAGAGTTAGTTGATGTTAGTACATGAGTCTTTACTTTCCCTTTTCAGTTAAGTTGAGACTTGAGTTGCCACTTTGGCAGTGAATGTTATTTATTACATTCTAAGTTATTTATTGAGCAGTTCAATTATTCTTTTAAAGTATATTTATCTTAAGTAAAGTCTTCCGATGAGTAGTAAGTCAGGCTAAGTGTTCAATTAGGTCCAACAATGGTTCTCGAGTGCCAGCCACGTCCGGGGTGTAGGCTTGGGGTGTGACAAACTTAGAATCAGAGCAAAGAGTTCAAGAGTCCTAGGGATTCTATGAAGTCGTGTGTGTAGAGTCCAAGTTATTGGTGTGAAGCGCGCCACATATATAATTAGGAGGCTGCAATACTTAGGAAATTATCTCACTTCTTTCACACTCATTTCGTGTGTTTGAGTTTGATCTCTAAAAAGTTTCTTTCTAATTCGTGTCTGCGCATGTTTTTAGATAATCATGCCTCCACGAAGAGTTGTCAAAGTTCGTCCTGCTAGACATAATATTGAGGAGCAAGGGGTACCTAATGCACCTGAAGTGCAACCCCAAGAAGAAGTCACTGACGATGAGTTCAGAGAAGCAATCAGGATGCTAAATTAAGCTGTGACTAATCAGGTTGGGCAAAAAAGAGGAGCTCGACAAGAAGAGGCTGACACTTCGAGGATTCGTGAGATCTTGAGGATGAACCCTCCAAGTTTCACTGGTTCGAGCACTTTCGAGGATCCAAAGAATTTCATTGAGGAGCTGCAAAAGATATTTGATGTCATGCATGTTGCTGATACTGAGAGGGTGGAACTAGCTACACACCAAATGAAGGGTGTCGCTAGGATTTGGTTCGACCAGTGGAAGGAGGGTAGAGATGAGGATGCACCACCTGCGAGTTAGGCTTGTTTTCAGGATGCCTTCTTGGGGCGTTTCTTTCCCCGAGAACTGAAAGAGGCTAAGGTACAGGAATTTCTTACCCTTAAGCCAGAGTCCCTAAGTGTTCATGAGTATGGGTTGAAGTTCACCCAACTATCCCGTTATGCTCCGGAGATGGTTACGGATATGAGAAGTAGAATGAGTTTGTTTGTTGGTGGGTTGTCCCGTTTATCAAGCAAAGAGGGAAGGGAAGCAATGCAAATTGGGAACATGGATATATCAAGGTTGATGGTCTATGTGCAGCAGGTTAAGGAAGAGAAACTGAGGGATAGGGAGGAATTCAGAAATAAGAAAGCTACGACAGGGAATGAGTTTGGGCAGCATAAAAGTAATGTGAACCTTTCGTTCTTTCAGCAAAAGCAAAAGGGACTTGCTCCGTCATCTGCTAGTGCACCTGCACCATGAAACAAATGTGAGAATAATGGTCAGAATTCGTAGAACTTCTGAGCTAGACCTGCACAGTCTCAGGGAAGTGTAGCACAAGGAGGTAATTGGGCTTATGCATGTGCTAAGTATGGTAAAACCCACCCAGGTAAGTGTCGTGATGGCCAGTCAGGTTGCTTCGAGTGTGGACAAGAGGGTCACTTCATGAAAAAGTTCCCTAAGAACCGGCAAGGTAGTGGGAATCAAGGCAATAGAGCCCAATCTTCATCAGTTGCTCCACCAGACAAGGCTGCACCTAGAGGAGCTACTTCAGGTACTAGCGGAGGAACAAACCATCTTTATGCGCTTACTAGTCGTCAAGAGCAAGAGAACTCTTCATATATTGTCACTGGTATGATCAAAGTCTTTACTCTTGATGTTTATGCTTTGCTAGACCCAGGAGCAAGTTTATCTTTTGTGACTCCTTATGTTGCAAATAGTTTTGATGTTTTTCCTGAGAAACTTTGTGAAGCCTTTTGTGTTTCTACGCATGTTGGGGAGTCTATCCTAGTTGAGCGAGTATACCGTGATTGTGTCATTTCCATCAATCACAAAGACACCATGGCTGATTTAATTGAGTTAGACATGGTAGATTTTGATGTCATTCTAGGTATGGGTTGGTTTCATACCTGTTATGCCTTCACTGATTGTAGAACTCGAGTTGTCAAGTTCCAAATTCCTAATGAGCGAGTCTTAGAGTGGAAAAGTAGTTCAACAGTGCCTAAGGGTCATTTTATTTCATACCTTAAGGCTAAAAAGTTAGTTTCTAAGGGTTGTGTCTATCAGTTAGTCCGAGTTAATGACTCTAGTGTTGAGATACTTCATATTCAGTCAGTTCATATTGTAAAAGAGTTTCCAGAAGTCTTCCCAGATGACCTACCTGGAGTCCCACCTAAGAGAGAGATAGACTTCGATATAGATGTTCTTCCAGATACTCGACCTATCTCTATTCCGCCATATAGAATGGCACCAGCATAGTCGAAAGAGCTTAAAGAACAGTTGAAAGATCTCCTTGATAAGGGTTTCATTCGACCAAGTATCTTACCTTGGGGCGCTCTGATCTTATTTGTGAGAAAGAAAGATGATTCCCTTAGGATGTGTATAGATTACTATCAGTTGAACAAGGTTACCATCAAGAAAAAGTATCCTCTTCCGAGAATTGATGATTTTTTCTATCAGCTGCAGGGTGCTTCTTGTTTTTCTAAGATTGACCTCAGATCTGGCTACCATCAGTGGAAAGTAAGGGAGTGTGATTTTCCCAAGATAACATTCATGACTCGTTATGGTCATTATGAGTTTCTGGTCATATCATTGGTTTGACCAATGCGCCTGCAGCATTCATGGACCTTATGAATAGAGAATTCAAACCTTATCTAGATATGTTTGTTATCATCTTCATTGATGACATACTAATATATTCTATAATGAAGAACATCATGCTAGACATCTCAGAATAGTTCTACAGACTCTAAAAGATAAAGAGTTGTATGCTAAGTTCTCGAAATGTGAGTTTTGGCTTGATTCTGTGGCATTATTAGGCCACATTATGTCTAGAGAGGGAATTAAAGTTGATACTCAGAAAATTGAGGCATTGCAGAATTGACCTAGAACCACATCTCTAACTGATATTAGGAGTTTCTTGGGTTTGGCTAGCTATTATAGAAGGTTCGTAGATGGGTTCTCATCTATTTCATCCCCTTTGACCAAGTTAACTCAGAAAACCGTGAAGTTTCAATGGTCTGAAGCTTGTGAGAAAATCTAAAGGTTGACTACTTCCCAATGTTAACCTTACTAGAAGGTACGCAAGACTTTGTTGTATATTGTGATGCGTCTAGAGTTGGTTTGGGTTGTGTGTTAATGTAGAATGGCAAGGTTATAGCCTATGCCTCTAGACAGTTGAAAATTCATGAGAAGTACCCAACCCATGACTTAGAGTTGGTTGTTGTAGTATTTTCTTTGAAGATATGGTGTCATAATTTGTATGGTGTTCATGTTGATGTATTCACTGATCATAAGAGTCTTCAATATGTGTTCACTCAGAAAGAGCTTAATCTCAGACAAAGGAGGTGGTTAGAATTACTCAAGGATTATTACATGAGTATTCTTTACCACCCAGGTAAGGCTAATGTTGTTGTCGATGCTTTAAGCAAGTTGTCTATGGGTAGTACCGCCCATGTTGAGGAAGAAAAGAGAGAGTTAGCGAAAGATGTGCATAGATTTGCACGCTTGGGAGTCCGACTGATGGACTCCATGGAAAAAAGAGTAGTGGTGATGAATGGGGCTGAATCATCATTAGTGTCAGAAGTAAAAAAGGCAAGACCAAGATTGCATTTTGCTTGAGTTGAAGGCAAATGTTCATAAGCAGAAAATTATGGCTTTTGAACAAGGGGGAGATGGTGTATTAAGGTATCAAGGTAGATTGTATGTACCAAGGGTGGATGAACTCTAAGAGAGGATCATGGAGGAAGCTAATAGCTCCAGATATTCCATTCATCCGGGTTCCATAAAGATGTATCGCGATTTGAGAAAGGTTTATTGGTGGAGTAGCATGAAGAAAGGCATTACAAAGTTCGTTGCTAAGTGTCTGAATTGCCAACAAGTTAAAGTAGAGCATCAAAGTCCCGGTGGTTTGGCTCAGAATATAGAACTTCTGGAATGGAAGTGGGAGATGATTAATAGGGATTTCACCACAGGTTTGCCGAGGTCTCACAAGCAGCATGATTCCATTTAGGTGATTGTCGATAGAATGACAAAGTCAACCTACTTTTTGCCAGTAAAGACTACCCATACAGCAGAGGACTATGCCAAGTTGTATCTTCAAGAGGTAGTTTCGATTATATCAAATAGAGTGTAACATCTCGCTATTTGAAAGAACTAGGAAGAGTTAAAAATTAGAAATAGTCATTTTAGAAAAGAATGGAAACATCTGGAAATTAGGTTAAGTTATGTTAAGTATAGTTTTTGGTCAACTTCAAATGACAAGAACTCCTAGATCAGAATGAGTTAGTGTCCTTCAAAATACCGTAGGCAAGATAGTTGAATTATTTTTCCAACGACGCCAATTTTGCGCGATTCTGAGTTTTTATGAGTGAGATATGCCCACTGGAAGTTGGGTTGTTTGGATAAGGAAAGTCCAATCCAGATTTTGAGAGGCTAGTTTGGTCTTTTACTTGCCCAATTGTTTTATTTCATTTTTGGTAATTTAGTTAGGGTCTAATCAGAATTAGATTAGTTTACGCTTTTACCAAAATAAGCTAGGGCTTGGAGAAAAGAGAAAAGAGGAGAAAGGAGAAGAAAAGTCCATAGTTCGTCGAATTCTTTGAGAATTTCGTGTGGATTTCGCCAAGGGTTAATCCCTACAAGGTATGTGAGGCTTTTATAACGTTGGGTTCATTCACCCACGTTCCAAACATGTTAATTTTACCGTGAATTCTTCCTAAAAGAGTTTGAAAGTTTGATGCTCTTGATATGTATTCTTGAATTTGATGTTGTTCTTGAATTGGGCTGAGATTGAGAAGTTTCTGAGATCATTACATCTAATTATAGAGTTGTTTGAAGTTAGGTTCTTAGGTGCATTTGCTGGGTATCTGAATCTAAAAGGAATTTGGGAAAAAGAACCGAGTTTGGGCTAATTGGGCCTGGAAAATGAAGAAGGAAATTAGTCGGGCAAATCTGGGCACTGGGTCCGAATCGCGGACCTGCTCCTCAGATTTGAGAAAAATCTCTTCGCGGAGCGGAGCGGTCACGGACCGTTCTGCCTCAAAAAGTATTTTCGCGACAAAAAATTTAAATACATCTCCGCATTGCGGACCTGCTTTTAGACAATGATTTTTTTATTTTTTCTCATGTTTAGCTATCTAAAAACTCTCCTAGACATCATGAGATCTTTCCTATCACAAATCACAATCCTTGAATCCATAATTCAATTCAAGGAAAGTTAAGAGTCAAGTTTAGAAATTAAGAAGCAAGTCAAGAGAAGTTTATTAATGTTTATCAGAATCTTTCACAACGTTTTAACTTTGTTCCAAATCTTAAGTTTTAAGTTAAGCAAAGAGTAAAGTGTTGAGTTCATTTCTCCAAAAGTTATAGGGAACTAAGTATTCCCAAGAGTTTAAAATATTTTCACATTTGAACAAGAAAGGGAAACATCAATTTCCAAGAGAGTTTTTAAGCTAAGTTTTGAGTAATTATTTAAAACCAAAGAAACAAGTTTGTTTTAAAAACATATAAGCTAAGTATATTTTGGGAGTAGTATTGAGCACCGATATGGGGATGCGAGTTCATATTAACTCAAGTCTCCATAAAACATGTAGCCATCATGGGTAGTAAAGGATCATACTTTTTAGATGACTCCTTAAGATGTTTTTAGCATAGACTAGTAGATCCACTTAGTTAAGGCATTCTATATGACAGCAAATTATAGGATAGTTCTGGCAGCGTGGGGAAGACGTTGTATCACCAGTTAGGCTCATAATGGTGGTTAACGGTTAGAGAAACTCCCACAGAAACTATATTACTTTGATATATAAGTAAAGTTGAGTTCGTTATTACATATGTTTAAAAATTTGAGTTGTTATTTACTGTTCTAAATGCTTTGTATAAATTGCACTATTATTGTTGTTTTACACTACATTTTGAGTTGAGTTATTCATGAATTGAGTAAAGTCAAGGTAAGTGTTACTTAAAGATCATTTTCAAGCTTAAGTTGTGTTTAGCATTCCAACTTGCATACTTGTACATTCAATGTACTGATGTCGGTTGGCCTACATCGTCTTATGGTGCAGACACAGGTAACCAGGATCAGCATCCAGTGCCTCGTTGTTCATGTTGAGCACTCGGAGTCAGTTGGTGAGCCTCCTTGCTTTCTGAAGGGTCCTTTTCATAATTGTTTAAGCTTTTCAGTTGGTAGGATGATCGGGGGTCCTGTCCCGACATCCCTCTTTATTTTAGAGGCTTTATAGACACTTAGTAGTCAGTTGTAT